AAAAACAGGAACTGCTCACCTCCAATCTGTGGAGCTCTAACTCTCACTGCTTTTGCACTCCCTTTCAGCCTGTGTCCAACACCCTGAAATATTAGAGCTCAGTTGAATTCTGCCTTTAACAACCTGACGAGCCAGAGAACAAACAAAAACCTGTGTTTTGAACTCACAGCAGGGGCATTTCGAAAGCCCTTGACCGCCTGGAACACCCCTCCTCCAATTGCACCCATTGTGAAAGCACCTCCACAGTCATCCACTATCCTCCAGGGGCTGCGTTAAGAGAGAAATGGATTTCTATGTGATAGGAAAACTGACAATGGAGATATATCTGACAACTAACATCCAGTTCATATACAAAATGCAGAAGTTATCAATCGGAGTCTGGATGAAGCCGAAGACAATATGAGCACAGTTCTGGCTGAGAAATGTATATTACCCGTGGATGAAGAACTAGTTCCTTAAAGCCACACAAATAACTAAATGCTCACCTCTGAGTTATGTTTGTGTTATAAAACATATCAAACATCATAAATGAATATGTCAAACAGTAGTGAAAGAACTAATGAGGTGTGGAGAAGGGAAGTGACAATTTAGTATTCTCCTGCCATAGCCCAGCTGCTTTGAGGGTTGATATGTTGTCCATTCAGAGATGCTATACTGCACACTTCAGTTGTAAGGAGTGGTTATTTGAGTTACTGCTGCCTTCAGTTCAAAGCAGTCTGGCCACTCTCATCTGATCTCTGACATCAACAAGGCTTTTTCAACCATATGACTGTTGCTCACTGGATATTTTCTCTTTTTCACGCTGTTCTCTGTAAAACCCTAGAAATTATTTTGTGGGGAAAAGGCTGTAGTTAAACAGTTTCGGGAATGTTGAAAAGATCGGCCATTCTGCCAAAAACAATCATGTGATGTTCAAAATCAATAAAAATCAGCTGTTTCAACTTCTCCAGCCTGAACTTCAGCAATGCGTCATGACCATGTCCAGATGCCTAAATGCACTATGTTGTTGCCAAGTGACAGAATGTAGGTTTACATTAATCAGTAGGTGGACAGGTATGCCTAATGAAGTGGCTGATATCTGGATTCTTTATCCCGTTCCTTTGAACTGTCATTAAAGTTTGACTTGTAGGGGATCAACCTTGGCTCGAGGTGTGTCTTAACTTGATAAATAAATAAATAAATAAATGAAGCTTCGTGTACTGCCTGTTTGGAACCATATTTTGAGATTAATCCACCCTGAACTATTTTTAATTTCTATCCTAACTCCAGTTGTCACTTAAAAACAGCGACATTTTCAGATAAAGGTGACTCTACCAGCTTATTGTGTGTGCAGAGGACGCCTCCATATAACATCTTTATGTTTTTTATATGCCTTTAATAAGCAGGCCGCAACAACCACAGAGCCTTTCTGCTCACTCTCACGTCAAAGCTGAGTATGAAATTTTAAAAAGTCAACACTTGACTCCAACTTAATTAGTTCTAAAATACGAACAAACGCTTAAAATCTAATCTTACCAGGGCTCTCGGGCATATTCCTCCATGTCTGTTTACGTCGTCGTCTTCATCAAGAGGACGTGATTACGTCATCATTAAGCGCGCCGTGTATGCTGTTTTGGAAAGAGGTATCGTTAGCTTGACGATAAAAAGGGCCACCTTTTTTTTTTAAAGAAAAGGTAAGAATTTAACTATTTCTTGTTGTTCAATCTTTTGAAGTAAAGGGTAACGTTTGTGTTTGTGTGGTGTGGATGCTTTTTGGAGACGCATAGTTTTGTTTATTGCGTTAATCTTACATCTGCAGCCGCGGATGCACCGCAAGCGTGTTAGTTTCTTGTTAAAGGAAACAGTTCGTATTGTACATGGTACAAATAATCACAAAGAAAATATATATATAGGTATGTGTATATATGTAAATAGACATATGCACATACACATAAAATAAGGAGCTAGTAAAGTTTTACCTGGGATTCGCGTACGATGGCCATATAACCTAAGAAACTGATTTCTTTATTAGGATTATGGAGTTACTTTAATTTTTATGAGCAGATTACTTTAAATGATGACAGGACACATAACAGTTCAGGAGTTTAGTCATTCTCAGACCTGCCAGGATACATGCTTTAAACTACAATTCAGGAATATCATTGTGATATCGACATCAAAACAGCCAGCAGTAATTTATTGCAGGAAATACTGGTCTACAGATGTGACAAGTCTGCTGCAAAAATGTGGTTCTGGGCAGTGTTAAAGCTGCTTTTGATAGAATTATTACAGTAAAGGCTTAATCTCCGCTTATCAGAAAACAAGAAATGTCCCAGAAAAAAATGGACAAAACAAAATCATGATAATAATAATAATAATAAGATGAAGAATAAAAAACAGGTAAATATGGGAACTGTTTCAAAACCAAGTGCTCAGTAAAGTGTGAAATGAATGGTGGACCAAAAGTATTAAACATAATGATGATAAAAAATATATAAAATAGCCCATGAAAGTAATGAAACTGTTACAAAATGTGCTTATATTAAAGAGCACTAAACTATATAATGGTGGTAATCATGTGCATTTTACTTTATGGCCACATGTGACTTAGTGGTTTGTGTGTAAATGATGAGTTTCTATATGTCCTAATTAATCAAAGGGTACATATTATTAAAAGTACATGATATGTATTATGTTATCTGATTTATGACAGATCTAAGACTATTTTAATACTGTGTAATAATGTGTTATGAGCATTTGTTCTGCAACTGTTATTTTAGTACCCCAAGTGAATTTCAGCCATAATATGAACAGAGTTTCACATGGATGCCTTTCAGGATGCCTTTACCTCCAGCACTGCTGGCCCGATTGGCCAAGAGAGGGATTGTTAAACCAACAGAGCAAGGTAGTGGAACAGATTTCATATTCGGGTCTCTACCCTTCGTGAATTTCTCCTTATGTTTTGTGCTTTTTTTTCATGCCTTTTTAAAAACCTTTTCCCCTTCAATTAATCCAGGGGCGGATGAGGAGATTATTGCTGAAGATTATGACGACAACAATGTAGATTATGAAGCCACCAGAGTGGAGAATCTACCACCAAACTGGTACAAAGTGTTTGACTCTGCTTGGTATGTACACTTGATATACTATAATTTAATATAATGAGAATTTTATACTTTAATTCAAAATGATTGTTATAAACTTCACAATCAGAATGCGCTTTTTACTTTTTCTTTCTTGTTTCTCATTTTATTCTTGAGAAGTCCTTGAACATTATAACTACTGTCATGGAGAGCTAAAGTGTATTTTTAAACTGTTAAGTAAGTTTTATTTAATTTTGTGGTTGCAATATTAATCGCTAATGTTTTATATTCCTTACACAGTGGTCTTCCTTATTACTGGAATGTCGAGACAGATATGGTTGCCTGGTTATCCCCAAATGACCCATCTGCAGTAATAACAAAACCTGCCAAGAAAATAAGAGGTATGCTTTTATTCAGCCTCTATAATGTAATGTTTTCAAGAAGCACTAGTGATCACAAATTTCAGTTCTGTTACAGTTGACGTGTGCTACTTTGCATGTACAACCTCAGAATACAGTTTGCTTTTGACAGATTTCAGCCATGGCTAATCTTGTGATCCTTGCCTTAACTTGTGTTTTTAGTAGAAGGAGGAGATGAAAAAGGCGAGAAGCAAGTTGAGAAACCAGACAGGGACAGAGAACGACACAGAGACCGGGATCGGGAAAGGGATCGAGATCGGGAAAGGGACAGGGAAAGGGACCGGGACAGAGAACGTGATGATGGGAGGGACAGAGACAGAAGAAAGCAGAGAAGAGATGAGGCAGCACCATACAGTCGAAGCAAAAAAGGTAATGTTTACATCTGATTCATTACATGTTTACACATCAGCAACTTTCACATGATTGAATATTGAACACTCAATATTTTTTACAGGTAGAAAAGATGATGAGATGGACCCCATGGATCCAAGTGCTTACTCTGATGCTCCAAGGTACAGTACAGATGGTCACCTCGATATAAGCTATATACAGGTCGTTCTCTGGTATTCTGATTTTGCCAGAATCATTGTGTTGCACTTGTTGAAAAATAGTTATGAGAGACAGACCAAATCAATTCCCATCATGCATTTTTATCTTAGACGTAAGAACTAAACCCTCACACAGCACAGGTACAATTTTTGAGTGTGTCCTCTCAAAATTCAAAATGGTAATCAGCATAGCTGATATCCCTGTTTTAGGGAGCTCACATAAATCTACATTTCATTCAAGGCACCACACCTCAACAAGAGGCAGATTTTATTCCAGTAGCATAATGTTCATAGTGAACTGGATTAGTTTTCCTCCCATTTTCATAAAAGTTACTCTTAATATTTGACCAAATTTGACCAGCTTTTATCACAACTCACTTATTCCCTTGAGCATAAAATAAAGACTTGCAGAAAGGCCTCGTATCCTTATGAGCTCTGAGCCCTCAGAGCAGGAACATGTGTGAACGCTGGGAAGGGGCCATACACTTTTTTTTAAACAGCATTTTGACTTGGCATGTCAGAGAAAGCACAGGTATAAAAACAACTTAAATGGCTCCATACTACTTCAGCATGCTAGTTTCATTATCCTTGTATGTGCAGTCAGTCTTATTGTAGCTGTAAATGCAACATACTGTAGCCGTCATTAACCAAATTTACCTCACTTGCAGTTTTCCTGCCACCATGAGCCAAATTGTCTGCTGTGGAAATGTCTATTAAAGATCTAAACCTGCAGGGTTTCTGTTTAAAATATTCCTAAGACCAAACTGAGATTGTCATTGCAATTTGATCAAGGTCGTTTTCTCAGGCTTGACAAAACCCCTTTTCAGACACAGAAGACATTGTAGTGCTGATTACAAATGCAGTGAACACAAACTTATTGATTTTTGCAGGGGGTCATGGTCAAGTGGGCTGCCCAAACGTAATGAAGCAAAAACGGGTGCAGACACCACAGCAGCGGGGCCTCTCTTCCAGCAGCGTCCGTACCCGAGTCCAGGAGCTGTTCTTCGGGCTAACGCAGCAAACCAACTACCCAAGGAGTAAAAGCAGATACTACGAAGACAGCAACTTAAAACCCACAACTCTACAGTTGGTCTTCATTATGCTCACATGCTAAACATCATAGTTTGACAGGCTTTTCTTTTCATTGTGAAATGTGTACATGTCAGAAATGAAGGGCTGAACTTTTTGGACAGCTTCTCTATTCATACTCCTGCCGTGTAGAGCATTTGTAAATATGTTTTTATATGACCCAAAGGTTCACTTCTCGTTGTCACTAGACCCATCAGTGAACATGATAATAAACTTAAGACTACTGTGAAAATTATCTGTTGCAGCTTTTTCTCAATTGTTGCATTGCCATATGTACAAGGGGGAAAAAATCGACAAGTTTTTATTACAAAATTGCAATCTTTTAAAATCCATAATACTTGAATAATAACTAACAAAACAAAAAAAACAGCTGGGAAGAAGTCGATGGAAAAAGGACAGTGAATATTACAGTAAACATCAGAAATCAGTGGTCTGCTGCTGCCCCAACATAGTGACAAATGGAGTCATAGTCCAATGTGAACACTTTATCCTCGTATCTGTCGAGCTGGACCATCGCTCTGCACTTGTTCTTGTCCCGCTGAAGAATACGGCCAACCTGAATCAGGTGGGAATATAGTGATCAGTATTAGCTAATCAGATTTAAACAAATTATCTATCTATAAATAAAAAGCAGAGAGGTTACTTTGCTCACCTTTCCCTTGTGCTCACCCAGTACCACCATTACAGAATCATATTCACTTTTTGGGACAATAGTTTCCAGCATGTCCTGCTTCACATCTGCCACAGGAAAAGAAAAAAGAAACGCTGCATCATTCATTGAAGAATTTCTACAGTAATACCAACTAGGCAGCACTCAAGAGTAGAGCCAGCAGATTCTGACATTTACAGTGGCTTGCAAAAGTATTCGGCCCCCTTGAACTTTTCCACATTTTGTCACATTACAGCCACAAACATGAATCAATTGTATTGGAATTC